GCAGCCCTGCCTTCCTGCTCTCTAGCAGCTCATCTCTTCCAAATATCCAGAGATCTAACCTATGCCCAGCTCTCCCTAACCAACACAAGCTTTTCTTTCCTCTGTTTCTTTCCCCTAGGCCTATGAAGATTCCTCAGTATCCTTTAATATTATGTAACAGTAAAGTAAAATAAGTAAGTACTCTTTTGAATCCACCCTTGTTTTTCATTCTTTTTTCTCCAACTTCAACATGAGAAGCCTATACTCATCATTTCTAGGTCCTCATTCCTGTTTTCAATCTAGCCTCTGATTCAGCCACAGGACCGAAACTGACAAATCCAATCCTTTGTACTCTCTCACTGAATTCTTCTAACCTCTCTAGAGGTTTAACATTGAGTATCTGTCTCCACAAAAGCACCATACTACCCACCCTAGTCCACCTCCTACTTCCGTGACTGATCACCCCCTGGCATTTTGGATGACTCTTCTTTCTTCTCTAGCTTCCTAAACAGAGGCATTCCTCATTAGCTTCATTTTTTACTTTTCTTTTCAAAGGTCTGACTCATCTGATGAATCACATGAAGATGATGCCCAAATCCTTCAACAGCTCCAGGATATAATTCACCACTTCTAACTGCCTATTGAACAGCTACTCAAATGTCCTGCCAATGCCATTTGTTGCCTGGGATGATATTGCCATAGACTCCAACATGTCCAAAATTAAACTGTTCACCCCAAACCAGAATCTCAGGTGCTCATATAGAACACACTATCACTCTCTTGGTCACTCAAACTCAAAATCTGGGCCATCTTTAACTCAATTCCTACCTATTCCCCTCACATCTTACTGTCTTCCCTTCCGTCAATGTTTTACAGTAGGGAAAGTAAAAATGAGTAAGACATGGTTTCTAGCCTCTGGGAAGAATTAAGAGAAGTAAAAACAGACAATTATAAAGCAATCTGATCAGCACAGTGGCTCTAGCCTATAATCCCAGCACTCTGGGAAGCCAAGGCAGGTGGATCGCTTGAGCTCAGGAATTCAAGACCAGCCTGGGAAACAAAGTGAGACCCTGTCTCTACAAAAAGATAGAAAAAAATATATATTTTTAAAAGAATAAATAAGCAATCTGGTAAGTGTTACAAAAGAAAAAATGCACAGGATAATGAGGTTGGGGGTAGGGGACAAAGGAGAAAGGAGACTAGGAGAAGGATTCAACAGGCTGAAAAATGTCAGTTAGAACTAAAATCCTGTCCCCTAACCCTCAATAGGCCAAAACAGCAGCACGCACTCTGAATAACTAAGTATATGCCTTGCATTAAGACAATTCAACATTTAAAAAAACACAATTATTGTGGCTCATGCCTGTAATCCCAGCACTTTGGGAGGCCAAAGCAGGTGGATCACTTGAGGTCAGAAGTTCGAGACCAGCCTGGCCAACATGGTGAAAATCCATCTCTACCAAAAGATACAAAAATTAGCTGGGCATGGTGGTGCACACCTGTGTCCCAGCTACTCAAGAGGCTGAGATGGAAGAATCACCTGAACGCAGGAGGCGGAGGTTGCAGTGAGCCAAGATCACATCACTGCACTCCAGCCTGGGTGACAGCATGAGACCCTGCCTCAAAAAAAAAATTATTTGTCAATAAAATTTTAAGAAGAAAATTTAACATGTAACTTTTGAGTGACTGAGTATAAATTAGGGAATGATGGTTCTCACTATACATGGATTAATTTTTTTCTTCTTTCTTAAAGGGACAGAATCTCACTCTGTTGCCCAGGCTGTGGCATGACCATAGCTCACTACTATGATCACTGCAGCCCTCCTCCTAAACTCAAGCAACCTCCCGAGTAGCTGGAACTGCAGGTTCATGCCACCATGCCTGGCTTATGTATGTATTTAGTAGAAACAAGGTCTCACTTTGTTGCCTGGGATGCTCAAATTCCTAGGCTCAGCCAGGCACAATGGTTCACGTCTGTAAACCCAGCACTTTGGGAGGCTAAGGCAGGAGAATCACTTGAAGTCAGGAGTTCAAGACCAGCCTGGCCCATATAGTGAAACCCCATCTCTACTAAAACAAAATACAAAAATTAGATAGGCATGGTGGTGGGCGCCTGTAATCCCAGCTACTCAGGAGGCCGAGGCAGGAGAATCACTGGAACCTGGGAGGCAGAGGTTACAGTGAGCCTAGATCATGCCACTGCACTCCAGCCTGGGCAACAGTAAGACATTGTCTCAAAAAAAAAAAAATTTCCTGATTCCTGGGCTCAAGCGATCGTCCTGCCTTGGGCTTGGTCTCCCCAAATTCTAGGATTACAGCTGTAAGCTACCAGGCCTGGCCTGGATTTTCTTTAAATAATAACTACCCAGTTAATTTTTTTTTTTTTCTTTTTGAGACAGGCTCACACTCTGTTTCACAGGCTGGAATGCAGTGGCATAATCACTGCTCATTGCAGCCTTGACCTCCTGGGCTCAGGTGAGCCTCCCACCTCAGCCTCCTGGGTAGCTGAGACTACAGGCATGTACCATCACACCTGGCTAACTTTTTAAATACTATTTGTAGAGACGAGGTTTAACCGTCTTGTCCAAGCTGGTTTCAAACTCGTGGGTTCAACTGAGCCACCTGCCTCGACCTCCCAGAGTGCTAAGATTATAGGTGTAAGCTACCACGCCAGGCCATGTTCCAGTGAATTTAAAACAGGATTTCCTTAGCCAGGCGTAGTGGCTCACGCCTGTAATCCAAGCACTTTGGAGGCCAAGGTGGGCAGATCACCTGAAGTTGGGAGTTCAACACCAGCCTGACCAACAAGGTGATACCCCGTCTTTGAAAAATATAAAAAAATAAATAGGATCTCCTTTTCATATATTTTCATAAACATATCCAATCATAGGTCATCTCAGGAACTAAGAGCTAAGAAGAACTAGATTCTCTCATCCAGTCATTTCATCTCCCAAAGGATAGGAAAGGTTAAATGACTTGCCCAAGGTCACAAAGCCTGTAAACAGAAGTGGAACCCAAACAACCCCAATCTTTTTTTTCCATGTTACCTCACTGTCTCGGATATGCTCCTAATCTCAGAATGCTGTCCAGCTGATTCCTCTAAAAACCAACAGAAATGAGAATGTGTAAAGAGTCCAGACATTGGGTTTCAAGTCTTGAAAGTGTTTTTTTAAACACACACACACATAATATAAATTCCAGGAATATAAGGATCTGGCTATAACTTGTTCTCTGTGAAAATGAGAGATGAGTCCTCAGCTTGTTGCCAACTTGTCCAGATGACTCTCTTGTCCCTGAGTTCTCCCCAAAATGCTGATAAAGTCATATTTTCTTCCCCAGAAAACATGCTTAATTAGAGTTCTAACTAGTTGACTAACGGCTAAAAAACTTAGAATCATGGGGAATTAGGGCAAGGGGATGGCTTAAAAAAAAAAGCAAATTCTAAATGTTGGTGAATTCTAATTACGATGATACCAAGTTCCAACTATCATACCTCAATCTCTGATTCCACATTCTGTCAGGGGAAAAAAAAAGTTGCTCCCATCTCCAAAAAGTAACAGGTACTTTTTATTTATTTATTTATTTATTTGAGACAGAGTCTCACTCTGCCACCCAGGCTGGAGTGCAGTGGCGAGATCTTGGCTCACTGCAACCTCCACCTCCTAGGTTCAAGCAGTTCTCCTGCCTCAGCCTCCCAAGTGGCTGGGACTACAAGCATACGCCACCATGCCTGGCTAATTTTTTGTATTTTCAGTAAAGATGGGGTTTCACCATATTGGCCAGGCTGGTCTCAAACTCCTGACCTTGTGATCCGCCTGCCTCAGCCTCCCAAAGTGCCGGGAATTACAGGTGTGAGCCACTCCAGGTACTTTTTATAATATAAAGTTGGGTCTGGCTCGATGGCTCACTCCTATAATCCCAGCACTTTGGGAGGCTGTAAGGCAGGCAGATCGCTTGATCCCAGGAGTTCAAGACCAGCCTGGGCAAGGTAGTAAGAATCTGTGTCTAAAAAATTTTTTTAATTAGCCAGCATGGTGGCCACTTGGGAGGCTGAGGTAGGAGGGCTGCTTGAGCCCAAGAGGTAGAGGTTGCAGTGGGCTCTGACCCACCACTACACTCCAGCCTGGGCAATAGAGCAAGATCCTGTCTCAAAAAAAAAGGGGGGAGGCCAGGCACGATGGTTCATGCCTGTAGTCCCAGCACTTTGGGAGGCCAAGGTGGGCAGATCATGAGGTTAGGAGTTTTTGAGACCAGCCTGGCCAACATGGTGATACCCCATCTCTACTAAAAATACAAAAATTAGCCAGGCATGGTGGCAGGTGCCTGTAATCCCAGCTGCTCAGACAGGACAATCACTTGAACTCAAGAGGTGGAAGTTGCAATGAGCCAAGATCACACCATTGCACTGCAGCTTGGGCAACACAGCAAGACTCCATCTCAAAAAGAAAAAAGTCGTCTTCCTTGATAGGGTAGTTAAACAAATGGTTAGAATCTGCAACTTTCTATAAGTGAAATCCCTTCCTACCCTTGGAATATGCTGCCTTTCTGAAGGATCCTCTGTTCACTTCACAGAGAACACATTCTAACACACACAAAATATCAAACAGCAAGAGCCAGAACTCTAGTTCAATGCTACCCTCGTCCTGCAAAGCTTGTCAGGGATTGGCCTGCAACAATGGCTGATAAGGCTAACAGCAAAAGAAAAACAACCACCTTGGTTGGGCTATTTAATTTCAACTGAAGACTAGAAGTCTACAAGACCCATCCTTACTACTCTCCCTTCCCTTTCAGAAAGGTCATGAGAAATATGTAGTCTTGAATTTGATGACACTGAAAATAAAGAATTCCAAAGCATGAGAACTTACTTCTAAACAACTGCTAATAAAACAAAATGGACACTTTAATATTCTTTAAATTAATTCTATGTAAAACCTGATGAGGTAAACAAATAAGGTCATGTCTTGCTCTTTATGACTCACTGACTCTGTCACATCCTCTTCTCACTACTACCTTTGCTGCTAAGCACACAAACCATTTTAGATAACAGCTTGTAAAAGTTGGGAAAGCAGTTTCCTGTCAAATGAATCAGAAATAGATCACTGAAAAACTAGCCTGGTGAGGGCCGGCAGAGGAGTCGCTGACAAAGAGTTATTCTACTTCACTCAAGGCTCCAGTTTCTCTTCATTTTTTCTCACGCCGAAAAGAGTAAGACTTATGCACTGCCTTTCTTCTCTCACTTCCCTGAAAGCCCATGGACAGCGTGCTGCTCCTTCTGGAGCTGAAGGAAAGAGGGTTCACACAGGTACCTACACTCCCTTCTCTCAGGTCAAAGCCACGCCCTACATTCCCAGCTGAGACTAGAGACCTCTCGTCTCACTTACTCTTACTCATCTTCTCTGGCACATCCTCACCTCACCTACCTTTCCACAGTGACCACAGTGACTTTCCACAGAAGCATAGCTTAAATGCCAGTGGGTTTTTTTGTATGTCTTCACAAAGTGTTTTCCAAGGACACATACATGACACTCTTATTTTTTATTTTGAGACAGAGTCTGGCTCTGTCGCTCAGACTCGAGTGCAGTGGTGTGATCTCAGCTCACTGCAACCTCTACCTCCCGGGTTCAAGCAATTCTCCTGCCTCAGCCTCCCAAGTAGTTGGGATTACAGGAGCACGCTACAACACCCAACTAATTTTTGTATTTTTAGTAGAGACGGGGTTTCACAATGTTGGCCAGGCTGGTCTCAAACTCCTGACCTCAAATGATTCACCCATCTCGGCCTCCCAAAGTGCTAGGATTACAGGAGTGAGCCACCGCATCTAGCCAACACTCTTATTTTAACTGAGAGAATACTCATAAGGCCGTTAGGCAGGAACTCCCTCAACTTCCTCATCTACCACCTATGAATATCTGCCTCTGCTCCCATCCTTTCCTTCTTCCCTTCTGTTTCAGCAGAAAAGGAGTCATTCCTGGCATCCTGAATGATCACTCCAGCAGTACTTACAATCTCAAACTTTGCTGACTCAGGGAGACCTCATTCCATCACATCTTTCTATTCTAGACCTTCAATTCCTTCTCCTCAAGACCTATTACCTCTCCACCAAACAAATGAACACACTCAAGTCTCTACCTTCTTAACATAATTCATTTGTTTGGCCATCAAATATTTGTTGAGTGCTTACTATGGGCCAGGAGCTCTTCTTGACTGTGGAGATAAGCAGTGAATAAAACTTAGTTCATGCCCTCAGGCAACTTATTTTCTAGTGAGGAGAGAGATAAAGAACAGATACATGTATCAACATCCTACCCACTTCCTTTCTCTCCACCTCACACCACCAGGCTTGAAACAGCAAGGTACACTGCCTGGCTCTACTTCTGCTTCCTCTCTGCTTTGCACTAATTACCCACTTGCAAAAGGCTGCAGTGCCCCCTCCCTGCCAACCCTGTCCCTTAACCCTACTAAAACAGCTTAGGCAAATGTCACCACCAATGACCTCTGCTTGTAATCTCAATTGCATTTTCTCAGTCCTAGTCTCAAACTCTGTGCAACAACAGAGACTTCTTAATATTCCTTGTTTTGCTCTTCTCCCTTTGGCCACTCATACCTTTTTGACCTCTGTTCTTTCAGCTTCCCCTTAAATGGTGGTGCTTCCAAGCTCTGTTTAGCCTCTGCTCACTCAATATGCTCTGCTTGGACAACCTCAATCCTGCCCATTGCTTCCACTATCAGTGATACATGCTGAGGAATACTGAATGTATATCTTCAGGACAGGCCTTTCTACAGAACTCCAAATCCCCAACTGCTGCTACAGATCTCCATTTGCACATCCCCAAAACCTCTCAAATTCAGTAAAGTGGAATTTTTTTCTCCCCCTACACCCTAAACTGTTCTGCCTCTATTCCCTGTTTTAGGAAATGGTGCCATCTTTCTCTCAGGTGCCTAATGAAGAAACTTAGGAGTCCACCTAGGTTCTCCCATCACACCTACACATCTATGTGCATGCCTCCTCCTTCATACTAGTCTTGTCAATTCTGCCTCCTTCAATACTTCTTTTCATTCCCTCTTCCCTTATCCTACTACAGAGACAGTTCATTTCAGTAGCCTCCCTCTAAGTCTTCCTGTCCCATCTTGCCCTGCTCTTACCTATTTAAGGCTATTTTGCATTTTATCTATGTGAATGTGTCCCTTGCTTGTATGACACAGGAACCTGAAACTATCCTCTTCTAGGGTGATCTCCACCAAAACAGATGGCAACCACTCCTGCTTACAATTCTTCATTGGTTTCCCATGGATGCTATATTAATGCTCTTTCTCCTGAAGAAAGTGATAGAGGAATGGAGGGCCTAGAAGAGGCACAGCCTGAAGAAGCAGACACCAGAGAACATTGAATTATTTTTTAATGTTAAAATTTAAGATTATGTTTGACCTTAATTTTCAATTCATGCTTTACCATAGAAATAATTTCCCATGAAATTCAATTTAATTGATATTCCAAAAAGATATGCTAATGTTTATCCTGTAGCTTTTTTTTTTTTTGAGACCAGTCTTACTCTGTTGCCCAGGCTGGAGTGCAGTGGTATGATCTTGGCTCACTGCAACCTCCACCTTCTGGGTTTAAGTGATTCTCCTGCCTCGGCCTCCCAAGTAGCTGGTATTACAGGTGCGTGCCACCACACCTGGCTAATTTTTGTATTGCAGCTTTGAGTACCCCTGGCATACCAATACAAATCCCCATTGGGAAGCAAAGACCTACAGGATAAAATTTAAGATTCTATGGGTGCAGCCACAAGGCACACCCCACCCCTTGCCATGCTCTCGGCCCTAACCACTGTCCTGGCTCATTGAACTTACTGAGCTTACACTCTGTGTTCTAGCAGTGACTAAATCATCATAGTTCCTCAAATATGCTTCAATGATTCCCAAATCCATGTCTTTCTCCAAATCTAAAGTACCCTCTTGCCCTTGTCTGTCAACTCACCGAACACCTATTCCACTGTTAAATCTGAGCCCAAATGATAGCATACGAGTGTCCTTCCCAGAATACACTAATGCCCTCCACCTAAGCACCTTCAAGTACATGAACATGTCTCCTTTATTGTATGGTCCAGCCCTACATGGTCCTAGAGCCCCTATCTGCTGGTATGGAGATGAGAAATTGTAGAAATAAAAGACACATGGTCAGGCGTGGTGGCTCATGCCTGTAATCCCAGCAGTTTGGGAGGCCGAGGCGGGTGGATCACGAGGTCAGGAATTTGAGACCAGCCTGACCAACATGGTGAAACCTCATCTCTACTAAAAATACAAAAATTTGCTGGGCGTGCTGCCACACGCCTGTAATCCCAGCTACTCAGGAGGCTGAGGTAGGAGAACTGCCTGAACCTGGGAAGTGGAAGTTCTAGTGAGTCAAGATCATGCCACTGCACTCCAGCCTGGGCAACACAGTGAGACTTTGTCTCAAAAAAAAAAAAAAAAAAAAAGAATATATGGGCTGGGCGCAGTGGCTCGTGCTTGTAATTCCAGCACTTTGGGAGGCCAAGGTGGGTGGATCACAAGGTCAGGAGTTCAAGACCAGCCTGATCAACAACAACAAAAAAAGAAATAAAAGACACAAGACACAGAGATATAGAAAAGAGAGTTTGGGCCCAGGGGTCCACTGCCAACCAAAGTGCGGAGTCCGACAGTGGCCCCGAGTGCCTGGACGCTCTGACTTTTGTTGAGTACAAAGCTGGGGGCAGGGTAGGTAGGGCCTGGTGCTGGTGGTCAGTGATAAGGTCAAGTACATCATGTGTCATATAGATAGGCGCCCAAGGCTTTCTAGCAGCCAAGATGAGGTAAGGGGTATAATGCGTCAGCACTTTTCCATATTTGTCCAGAAAGTACAAAGACATTAAGATTTATATTATTTTTACTGATTATCTCTTCTAAGAAAAAAGGAACCAGATGCAGAAGCAGAACATGAGAGTGGACGTGGAACATGACCACTGAAGCACAGCACCACAGAAAGACAATTAAGCCCCTGGATGTCTGCGGGCCTCCCTGACAGCCACCAGGCCACCACAAGAGCTCAGAGGAGCGGAGTTTTCTCCTCACTCCCCCGAGGAAGGAGATATCTTGGCCATCTTGGACGTCTCCTTCCCTAGCTGGCTAAACAGTGAGTGCTTTCCCAGCGCTGGCGCTGTCACACAGCTGAAGGGCCCTCCGGCAGCTGTTACATGGGCCTGACAGAGGACTTAAAGCATCTTGCCTTAGGGTCATTCCTTTCACAATGTCACTCCAGGTTCACACTTCCGGCCTGAGAGGCATTCGTAAAAGAATTAGAATGACCTATGAATCACTACTACAGTTATATTTCTAGTTACTTTCTTCACTATTTATATGGAAATAGGCTGAGGCTTCTGGCTCCTGCCTTAGCACTTATGGGGTCTCCCCCTATACACTTTATGACATTTATTATGCAATAAAGATACTGTTTACAGCATTTTTTTAAGACAGGGTCTCCTCACTCTGTTGCCCAGGCAAGAATTGCAATGGTGCAATCACAGCTCCCTGCAGACTCAATCTTCCTGGGTTCAGGTATCCTCCCACCTCAGCCTCCTGAGTAACTGGGACTATTTTGGGACTACAGGAGCATGCCACCACATCTGGCTATTTATTACAGTATCCTACATTCCCCCAAAATAACTACAGGAAAGTGCTGTTGGCCGGGCACGGTGGCTCACATCTGTAATCCCAGCAATTTGGAGCCGAGGCAGAAGGATCATGAGGTTAAGAGATCAAGACCACCCTGGCCAAAATGGTAAAACCCGTTTCTACTGAAAATACAAAAATTAGCTGGGTGTGGTGGCGCACGCCTGTAGTCCCAGCTACTCAAGGGGCTGAGGTAGAAGTATCACTTGAACCCAGGAGGCAGAGACTGCAGTGAGCCAAGATCACACCACTGCACCCCAGATTGGCAACAGAGAGAGACTCCATCTCAAAAAAAAAATAAAAAATAAAGTACTGCCATGTCCTGCCCTTCCTAACCACAGTCAAACTTACTAGAAGTTGTTTTGTTTTGTTTTTGAAACTTACTCATTTCCTCCCAGTTACCTCTTAACCCATTATAATCTCTGGCTTCTGATTCGAACACCGTAGCCTTAAAACCACTCTCACCAAGTTCATAATCATAAACCATTTTGTGGCTAAATCTAACAAATCCACCTTAATGCTTAACCATCCTTTTGTTTGCAGCAATATTTGGTCATTCTCTCTCTTGTCTTCCCAGCCCCCAATTCTCCTGACTTTCCTTCTCTAGGTTTCTTGCTAAACCTACAGCCATGTCTTTGCAGCCGTCTCTGCAAGCTTTCTTTTCCTCTGTCCATGTTAGCATTTCTTAAGTTTCTATTTGAAATACTCTTCTCTGTTCACTCTAAGCCCTCTTTTCTGGGTGAACTCATCTGTTCTTATGGCTTTAACTATCATCCTGCTTTAGATAAAGCTGGAAAACAAATTTGGGTCCATATGCCCAGTTATACTCTTTTCACTAATCACAACTTCTGCATGGATTAGTAAAATAACACAGCAGCATAATAGACTTATAGTGCTTCCCATATGCTAGGCACTATACTAACCACTATACATACTTTTCCTTTTTTTTTTTTTTTTTTTTGAAAGCAGGTCTTAGCCAGGCACTGTGTCTCACACCTGTAATCCCATCACTTTGGGAGGCCGAGGTGGGTGAATCACAAGGTCAGGAGTTCAAGACCAGCCTGGTCAAGATGGTGAAACCTTGTGTCTACTAAAAATACAAAAAAAATTAGCCAGGCGTGGTAGCGAGGGCCTGTAATCCCAGCTACTTAGGAGGCTGAGGCAGAGAACTGCTTGAACCCGGGAGGCAGAGGTTGCAGTGAGCCAAGATCGTGCAACTGCACTGCAGCCTGAGTGACAGGGCAAGATTCCATCTCAAAAAAAGAAAGAAAGAAAGCAGGTCTCATTATGCTGCTAGGCTGGTCTTGAACACCTGGCCCCAAGAAATCCTGCCAACTCATCCTCCCAAAGTATACTGTTATATAATAACTGATTCAGTGCTTCTATCAATCCTACAATGTAGATACTATTATCATCCTCATTTTACAGATGAGGACACTGAGATACTAAATCTGACTACCAAAAAAAAAAAAATAAGGGTCCGGCATGGTGGCTCACGCCTATAATCCCAACACCTTTGGAGGCTGAGGTGGGCAGTTCGCTTGAGTCCAAGAGTTCAAGACCAGCCCGGACAACATGGCGAAAGCCCATCTCTACAAAAAATCTAAAAATTAGCTGGGCATGGTGGTGCATGCTTTTAGTCTCAGCTACCTGGGAGGCTGAGGTGGATGGATCACCTGAGCCCAGGAGGTTGAGGCTACAGTGAGCCGTGATGACAGCACTACATACTAGCCTGGGCGACAGAGCAAGACTGTCTCAAAAAAAAAAAGAAGAAGGCATTTCCATCTCTAATGAAAAGAGCTTTTCTCCACAAAAGCAATTGTAAGAAAAAGAAGATAAATCAAATTCAGGATTCTGAGCAAATATGCTTCTAACAATGGTGATTTTCTGTTAATTAACATTTTAATGATTTTAATCATGTTTTAACATTTAATACTCATTTTAGTCATGTTTCTTCTAATCTTTACTGAAACAGGATAATCTTTTTTTTTTTTTTTTTAAGATGTGGTCTTCCTCTATTGCCTAGCCTGGAGTGTAGTGTCACGACCATAGCTCACTGCAGCCTCAACTCCAAAGCTGTAGATGGGACTACAGGTGCACACCACAATACCAGGCTAGAGACAGGGTCTCACTATGGTGCCCAGGTTGATCTTGAACTTCTGGCCTCAAGTGATCCTCTTGCCTCAGCCTCCTAAAGTGCTGGTGGCCAAGGATAATCTTAGTTATTAAGATGTTTCACAAGTTCTATCTCTCAGCCATAAAGATAAATCTGAAGTTCACAATATTATAATAAGTAAGATTTTTGTTATTTTCCTATGTGCAAAATTACAATTAATTTAGTGTTTGAACAGTATCTTAGATATAGGTAGTCAAAGCGACCAGAGAGAACGTGGGTAGGACCTAAGAGATAAATATTCTGTGTGTACAGCTGGATATGTTATGCACAGCCCATGAATGTCCTTAGCAGTTGGCCACACTGTTTGCATAAACTAGCATAGACTGACCAAAGGTCTGACTTGGTTCAAGAAAACCAATATTTGCCATATGGCTAATTATTCTACTTCCATGGGTTTCCAACATTTTGCCAAAGATGTAATGTAGCCAAGAAAAGATGTTGAAAAACCAGGCATGTGAAATATTCAGTTTTCCAGCCAGGACCAGTTAAACCAAAACAAAACTGGTTTTGGTTTCTCACAATGTCTGGTCTACAGAAAAACCCACCTAATCAACTTATGCTTCAGAGCAGACCCTACGGATATTACATTTGGTTAAGACAGAGGAAAAAGGGAACCAATGCATATGCAAAGTGCACAAAAAAAATGAGAAGTGTCTGCTTCCTGTTCAGGGAGCACAGGCACACAGCTCCAGCTCTCACGCAAGCACTGTTCCAGTCTTGGAGCTGTGTATTCTGAAAGTATTTGCATAATAAATACCAAACAAATTGGATAAGCCAAGTAGTCAGGTAGACTGAAGAAATGGAAAGTTGTTACCTATCGTCTAAGTGTAAAAGTCGTGTAAAAATCAGAGGGCACACAGTGAGGAAAATAAGGGGAAAACAAACAAGCAAACATTAGAAACTAACTAAATGCCAAGAAACACATAGGCCCCTGAGCTGCAGCTCTCACGAGCTTCCACAGGGATCCCCTTTCCTTCCTGGCAGAGACCCTGGGGACAGAGCCTACACTTCTTTACTCTTTACTCTTTAAAGCTGCCACCATCTAAAGAATCCCATTGGAATCTTCTCCCTGCAAAGTCCATTTGTTCACTGTACAAGTGTCTATTCAGAGTCTTCTATTCTAGGCACTAGAGAGACAGCAGGAAACAAGACAGTAAAGTCTCTGCACTCAAAAAAAAAAAAAACACTTTACTGGGGAAGAATCCAATAATATTAATCAATGTATGAACAAGATCATGTTAAATGTATTAGTTAGAAAATTTTAAACAGGAAAATAAGAAAGTAAAGGAGAGTGCTGAGATGAAGAATGATGCGAAGGTTTCCCAATTTAAACTTGGAGGACAGGGAAGGTATCTCTTTTTTTTTTTTTTTTTTTTTGAGACAGAGTCTCACTCTGTTGCCCAGGCTGGAGTGCAGTGGGGTGATCTCGTCTCACTGCAATCTTCGCCTCCCAGTTCAAGCTGACTCAGCTCCCAAGTAGCTGGGACTACAGGCGCGCACCACCGTGCCCAGCTAATTTTTTTGTATTTTAGTAGAGCTGGGGTTTCACCATGTTGGCCAGGATGGTCTTGATCCCCTGACCTGGTGATCTGCCCGCCTCGGCCTCCCAAAGTGCTAGGATTACAGGCATAAGCCACTGCGCCCGGCACCAGGGAGGGTATCTCTAAGGAGATTAACTTTGAACTGAGACAAAGTTGGAGCAGAACATTCCAGGCTGAAGAAAAGCAAGGAACAAGACATAGAGGTAGTCAGGCATGGTGGTTCATGCCTGTAACCCCAGCACTTTGAGAAGCCAAGGTGGGAGGATGGCTTGAGTCCAGGAGTTCGAGACAAGCCTGGCAACATAGTGAGACCCTGCAGCTACAAAATATAAAAAAATTAGCAAGGTGTGATAGTGCAAGCCTGTAGTCCCAGCTACTAGGGAGGCTGAGGTGGGAGGATCACTTGAGCCTGGGAGGTCAAGGCTGCAGTGAGCTCCATGCATGCCACTGTACTCCAGCCTGGGCAAGAGAGTGAGACCCTGTCTCAAATAAAAGGGGCCTAGAAAAAAAAAGGGACCTAGAGGCAGCAACAAGCATAGGGAGTTCAAGGAAGAAAAGGAATGCCTCACTATTGTGTTCAAATCATCTCATGATGACTTCCCTCTTTTAAATTGTGCCCACTAACCTCCTACCAGTATTATCTGTCCCTTTTGCTGCTTTTTCTCCATTGAAATTTACCATATGGCCAGGCACAGGGGCTCACACCTGTAATCCCAACACTTTGCAGGGCACCAAGCATGGCAGGAGGACTGCTCAAGCCCAAGAGTTTGAAACCAGTCTGGGAAACATGGCAAGACCCTGTCTCTACAAAAAATAAAAATTCGGTGGGCTTGATGGCACATGCCTGGAGTCCTAGCTACTCAGGAGGCTGAGGGGAAGGATCGCGTGAGCCCAGGAGGAACAAGCTGCAGTGAACCATGATCACGCCACTACACTCCAACTTGGGTGACAGAACAAGCAAGTCCCTGTCTCAAAAAATAATAGTAAATTTTTACCATCTAACAAGCAATACATATTACTTGTTATTCTCTGTCTACACCTACAGAGTAAGCCCCCTAAGGGGAGGGGTTTTGTCACGTTAATCACTGTTGTATATCACCTGTATCTAAGTGGCACATAGTGTGCATTCAGTAAACACCAGCTAAATAAAAAAAGGAAGAGGGAAGGGAGAAAGGGGAGGATGGAGGGAGGCAGGGAGACAGAAGGAAAAGAGAGAGAACAGAGAAGGAGAGAAGGGAGGAAGGAAAAGAGAAAGAAGAGTCAGCCAATGTAGCTGAAGCACAATGGGTGGGGGGAAAAGATGAGGAGTCAGTACCGTGTAGGTCTTGTAGGCTATGGAAAGATATTTGAAATATATTTTAAAGACAAACTGAATTCATGAGAGATGTAAAGCAGGGAAGTAATATGACCTAATTTGCAGTTTAAAAAGCTCCCTACCTGCTATGTGGAAAATGGGTTAGAGAGAAGAAAGCTGGGACACCACCAGGTAAAGAGCTAAAGAAGCAAGAGATGTGATGACTTGGGCATGATTAGCAGTGACTTGGGAAGGAGAGAAGTAGATTTAGAATATATTCTTGGTGGGACGTGGTGGCTCACACCTGTAATCCAATCACTTTGGAGGCCAAGGTGGGCGGATCACCTGAGGTTGGAGTTCAAGACCAGCCTGACCAACATGGTGAAACCCCGTCTTAAAAAAAAAAAAAAAGAATATATTCTCAAGGTAGTACCAAAAGACTCACTGGTGGACTTGATATGGAGAGCTGGACTGAAGGAAAGAGAGGAATCAAGAATGTGTTAGTTATCACTTTAAGGCCTTTCAGCTCCAAATATACCCTCACTGCTCTGTGAAAACTGAGATGGGCCCTTTGAGTATTTTTCCTTTGCCAGCTGCCATGATATTAAGCTTTGCCTGTATGTAGAGGGCACTGGAAAGACATTGCAGAAAGGGGCTTTTCTTTCTGGCTCCAGTGTACTCTTCTTGGCAGGATAAACAGAGTAACAAGTTCAGTATTCTGATGTCCTATGGAGTCCTAGTCAACTTATTTTAAAATCTTTTCTAATTTGAGGCAATTAGGAACACAACTGAACTAAGCTAATACAATGTGTATTATTTTCAAACATAATTGTTTTTCCCATATATATAAGAATTTGGGAACAGTATTCTGCTCATTCATCCTATTTGAAAGTTAATACCATACTGCTTTGAATACAGTGACTTTAAAATCTGTTTTAATATATGGTAAGGCAAGTATCATCTCACTATTCTGTTTCTAAATTTTCTTGGCTATTCTTTCTTCCATGCGAACACTAAGATCACTTTATCTAATTCTCTATTCCCTGAATAATCTTCCATTGGAGCTCTAATTAGATTTCCATTAAATTTTTATATATCAGTGTTCTCATATGGTACAGTTGACCCTTCCATATCCTTGGGTTCCACATCCATGGATTGATTCAACCAACCTCGGACTGAAAATATTTGTTGGGAAAAAAGCGTCTGTACTTAACATGTACAGATTTTTTTCCTGTTATCACTCTCTAAACAATATAGCATAACAACTACTGACATAGCATTTTCACGTACTAGGTACTATAAGTAATCTAGAGATGATTTAAAGTATACAGGAGGATCTGCTTAAGTTACATGCAAATACTATGCCACTTTTTAGCAGAGACTTGAGCACCCTTGGGTTTTGTTAACCAAGGAGAGTCCAATCCCCCATGGATAGAGGAACAGCTGCATATATTTCCATTTTTTCAGATGCTGCTTTTATAACCTTAAAGTTTTACAATTTTCTTCATACAGATTGTATGTCTTTCTTGCAATATTTAAGTCTTTTATAATTTTTCTCTTTTTCCCAAATATATTCTAGGAAGTATTTTATAATTTTTTTTTTTTAAGACGGGGTTTCGCCATGTTGGTAAGGCTGGTCTTGAACTCCCGACCTCAGGTGATCCGCCTGCCTTGGCCTCCAAAGTGCTTGGATTATAGACGTGAGCCACCACACCCGGCCCAGTATTTTATAATTTTTAACACTTTTATAAATAAATATTTTTGTCCTCACCAATACAGTTAATTTCCATTCTTTCCCTGCCAATATCCCAGTGACAACAAAGAATGCTTTTACTTCCCATCTATCCCCCACATTACCCTGTCCAACATCTGAGTTCTGTGAAATCATTGGGAATCCTTCATTCAGATGACTAGGCTTTCTTTTGCAATACGTTTCTTCTAGTTCAAGGATCCTTATTTAGCATTTATACTACACAATCCTTGTCATTCTCAATATATACTATGTATATACAAGTAGGACCTCAAATAACATTATTTTACTCAATGTTATGTTATAAAGAGGTTGAGAAGGAAAAAAAAACATCAATTCCCATCCAGGGCCATTGTCTGCATGGAGCTTGCACGTTCTCCCCGTGTCTGTGTGGGTTTTCTCCAGGTACTCTAGTTTCCCCTATATCCCAAAGATGTGTCCGTTATGTGAATTGGCACGTTTCATTGTCCCAGTCTAAGTGAGCGTGAGTATGTACGTGTGCACCCTGCAATGGAAGTCCTTTCCAGGGCTTGTTCCCGCCTTGTACCCAAAGTGCTTGGATAGGTTCCCACCTTCTGAGACCCTCAACTGGAATAACCAGTTAAATTATTACTTACTTGTTTATATTAATTTTTCTTTACTTTTTTAAAAAATGTGGCTGGGCATAGTGGCTGGTGCCTATAATCATAGCACTTTGGGAGGCTGAAGCAAGTGGACCTCAGGAGTCCGAGACCAGCCTGACCAATATGATAAAACCCAGTCTCTACTAAACGGGGTCAGGAGTTTGAGACCAGCCTGACCAATATGGTAAAACCCCGTCTCTACTAAAAATACAAAAATTAGCCAGGAGTGGTGGCACATGCCTATAATCCCAGCTGCCCAGGAGGCTGATGCAGGAGGTGGATTTTGCAGTGAGCCAAGATTGTGCCACTGCATTCCAGCCTGGGTGACAGAGCAAGATTCCCTCTTTAAAAAATAATAAAATAAATTAAAAATGTGGCCAGGCACGGTGGCTCACGCCTGTAATCCCAACACTTCAGGAGGCCAAGGCAAGCGGATCACTAGATCAAGAGTTCAAGACCAGCATGGCCAACATAGTGAAACCCCATCTCTACTAAAAAGTATGATATAAAAAATTAGCCGGGCTTGGTGGCAGACACCTGTAATCCCAGCTACACAGGAGGCTGAGGCAGAGCAATCGCTTGAACCCGGGAGGCAGAGGTTGTAGTGAGCGGAGATCACACCACTGCACTCCAGATTGGGTGACAGAGTGAGACTTCATCTCAAAAAAAGAAAAAAAATTTTTGAAAGCTGGATGTGATGACTCACACTATAATCTCAACACTCTGGGAGGCCAAGGCAGGTGAATCTCTTGAGCCCAGCAGTTCAAGAAGCCTGGGCAACATGGCAAAACCCCATCTCTACAAAAAAAAAAGACAAAAATTAAGCCAGGCACAGTGGCTCACACCTGTAATCCTAACACTTTGGGAGGCCAAGGGAGGCAGATCACTTAGAGTCAGGAGTTCAAGACTAGCCTTGCTAACATGGAAAAACCTCAACTCTACTAAAAATACAAAAATTAGCTGGGCATGGTGGAAAAAGGCACCTGTAATCTCAGCTACTCAGGAGGCTGAGGCAGGAAAATCGCTTGAACCAGGGAGGTGAAGGTTGCAGTGAGCCGAGATCATGCCACTGCACTCCACCCTGGGCAACAGAGCAAGACTCCGTCTCAAAAAAAAAAAAAAGGCCTAAAGTCTGAGAAGGTAAAAATAACATAAATGAAACAAATAGTGGTAAATTAAGTGTTAAAACTGCTGCTGAATATAACAATAGTCTAAAAATAGAAGAGATTAATATGGACTAAAGCAGTCAGCAGGTTTCATGATGAGAGGAACATCAGCGAGGCCTTGAAACAAGGGTTGGATTTTGACAGAAAAAGCCGTCCTGACAGGGAAAATACTCACTACAAATGCAGAGACGGGAATGAGCTTGTCAAGAAAGAGTGAGGAAACCCATATGATTATAACAGAAGAGTGTCAGATACTAGTAAAAAAAAAAAAGATAGAGATTGATGGAAGAATCTAGATTTGTTCACTAGCTGAACTGAAAAGCATTTACACTAAGGGACACTCACTGTGTGCTGTCCTCAAGCAGCTTACTCAGAGGAGATGAGAATATTTATACAAATGATAATTTCCTAACGTAAGATAATTTTAAAAATAGCTATGATATAGGAGTAACATTAGAAATCAGAGCTCAGAGAACCGACAAATGGAGAAGTTGTTTTTTTAACAGGAAGTTCATTTTCTAGTACTTCTCTTGGTCTCCTTGAAGAAAAACAAGCAAAGAACTATGGGAGGAAAACTCATAGCACTGCTTTTTCTACATCTTCAACTTAAAAATGAAAGTTTCAAGTTTCTCCAACCCAGAGAGGAAATCCCATAAATCAAGAATGACTCTTTAAAATTTTAAGACAGTGCCTTTGCCTTTGTCACAGATTTGCTAAACAAGGAACTATCAGAAGCTCAGAAGCTTCTACCTAACAATTCCAACTGGGCTTTTTTTTTTTTTTTTTGAGATGAAGTTTCATTCCCATTGCCAAGGCTGGAGTGCAATGGGACAATCTCAGCTCACTGCAACCTCTGCCTCCCGGGTTCAAGTGATTCTCCTGCCTCAGCCTGCCGAGTAGCTGGAATTACAGACATGAGCCACCATGCCCAGCTAATTTTGTATTTTTAGCAGAGACAGGGTTTCCCCATGTTGGTCACACTGGTCTCAAACTCCCGACTGCCTCAGTGATATGCCTGCCTTGACCTCCCAAACTGCTGGGATTACAGGTGTGAGCTACCACGCCCGGCCAGGCTCATTTCTTTAAAAGGAGATTCAATGACAAGACTGGTCAGCACTATAAAATGTATTCATGCCTGAACTAAATCAAAAGCCACAAGTTCTGGCCTATGATTAACTTATGAGAATATGATCCTACACCCTTAGAAAGAAAAAAAAACCCTGCAGATCCTTTAATGTATCCCTAAAAGCAACAGTCATCTAAAAATAAAGAGTATTGGAGCACTATTCGATTACCAAAAAAATAATAATAATTATAACTCCAAGAAAAAACAATAAAATA